GGCATCCAGAACGGTGGGGTGAGGCAAAGTGACAAGTGCTTTGCCTACTTGTTATGGTTTAAATCTAGCATGGCCCCAAAGCTTCGTGTGTTTGGAAGGTGACCGGATCTCGAGGGGTGCTGAAGCTGACTCGCTGTTAGCAGGAGGGGCTGGCTGGAGGTTGGTTCCTCGGCCCATGACACAGAAGGGTGTATTCTTGTTCCCAGGTCTTTCCATTTCCCTCTGCTTCCTGGTGCCATGGTACGAGCAGCTTTTCTACAATGCTCTTTCTTTGGAGCCAGCCAACCATGAGTAGAAACTTCTCAAACTGTGAATGAGATAAACCCCTCCTCCTTTAAGTGGAAAGTGCTGGGTATTGTGCCTCAGTTGTGAGAAAGTGACTAAGACACAATCCGCTTCCCCAGATTCGCACATATGGGGCAGCTGCTGCCCCACAGCTACTGGGCTGTGGCATTCTGGCAACAGCAACTCTAGCACTGGAGTCCTAGGGTCCAAGGAGTCCCCATCCCCAAACCCTTTACCTGTGTCCCACTTTATACGATGAGTTTCTGCAGAGTTGAGTGTTTTGGTAAATTCCTGACCTATTTATCTGTTCCCTTCTTCCTCAAAAAAGTACAAGGTCCTGTTTGACCCAACCCCCTCCGCCAGGCACCAGCTGGCCATATATATTATTACCATGATCCACAGCACCCTGGCTACAGAGGCCCACCGAGATTTCCCACTGTGACTCCCCTGCATGCTCCGTGACTCTATCCCTGCTGCTGCTGCTGGAACACATGTCATTGTCCTATGAAGCACACCTTGCTCCAGTTGCCTGGCCTGAGACTTGGTTACTCTGGGGTTTCTGACAGCCTGTACCACTCTGAACCTCCTCCTTTGTGCTCAGTTTACTGCCAGATCCAGCTTCTCCCTACCTTCTCAAGCTTTTCTATAGTTAACGAATCCCCAAGGATAACAAAAAAGCTACAAGGCAGTAATTCAGACATGATGAGGATCAGACAATAGAGAGAGCACAGGCTATTGTCGAGAGACCCTGTATGAGGGAGAAATGAAGCAAAGGGTTTTGGAACTACTAGGATGTAGGTGATGGCAAGGGGCAAGGAAGAGTTAGCGAATTCCACGTGTCCAAGCCTGGATGTCAGAGAAAGCTAGGTCTGTAATGGCAAGGAGAGCTGGCATGGGCAGAGACCTAGGTGGAAAGCTCTTGTACACAGGGCTTCTGCCGATTCCTCTTCCTTCGCTCCTGTGTCCATTCACAGCATGCAGCAGTGCCTCCCTGTCTAGAACAAAAGCTCTTTGAGGGCAGGAACCTTGCTTGCTGCTATGCTACAGAATACAGAGCAACGGCAGATACACACAGACCATAAGAATGGGCCGGGAGTTAACATTCTGTCCTCAGGCAGTGCTACCTGTTAGGTGCTGGGTAGGTGTCTGAGCCTCGGCTGTAGCCTGGGCCAGGGTGAAAGAGGTGGTATTGAGAAGAAGGGCACCTCCAGAAAAAGAGATGGGCTAAGGCATATAGCAATGCCCATTAGAGGTTTAGAGAAGACAGAAAGAGAGATAGAAAATTCAAAGACAACCAAGATAATGGCAGCTTTTATAAATGAAGGAAGGGTTACTGAGTAAGGGGCAAATGTTGTGGAGGCAAAAATGAAGAAAACGAGAAAATGACATTGAGTTTAGTAATTAGGAGGGTAGAAATCACCTCAGTGGACGCTGGCTGCAGAGACTGACCAGTGGGAAAAGGGGTACAGGCGGGTTTGCAAAGCGCTTGGCCTCTAGGGGAACAGAATATGTGGAAGTTAAGGGAAGCAATGCGTGTAGACAAGGTGTCCACATGCTTAGCTTTGGGGTGATGCATGCATAGAGTTCAAGGTCCACAGGAAGTATTTTCACCCTTATCTAAAAACAAAACACAACAGGAAAAAATTACGATATTGGAAAAAAGATGCACATGACATTTCAAGTTCTAATGATAGGGAATGGTTAGGCCTTTCGCTTAGGTGGAATCAAAACAGGGCCCTCTCACCCAGGAGAATAAAAGCAGTAAGAACAGCTACCTGGGTAGCACCGTCAAGTGACACTGCAGCCATCACAGTCTGCATAAGTACACTTCATAATGTTCATGCAAAAATCAAATAGCCTAACGATGCATTTCTCAAAACACGTCCCAACCTTAAGTGACGCAAGACCACAGATGGAAAACAGGGCTACTCTCCTGACCTAGAACTTAACAGACAAGGGTCAACCTCAATCACAGTCAGAGAATTTAGGTAACTTCCTGCTTTAAAACAATGCCAACGGACTGGAAAATGGGGCACAATCCCGGTTAGCCTTATAAGACAAGATGCTCTTTGGAAAGAGCACTCCAAAATGCAGTTGACTCAGGGCCACCAACACAGGCCTACCTCCCCAGTAGCGAGTGTGTTATTACAACAGCATTAATGAATTAGTGCTGTACCTACTGCCAACTGAAAATTCCTACACCAGAAACCCATTTAGGAAAAACATGAATCACTGCATAGTGGAAGACAGTAAGATTCGTCTGCGTGATATCAAGTGTGCATATCAAGCCAGGGATTTAAGAGAAGAACAGACATAAAAGGAATTGACTTTTCTTGGAAGAAGTTTACCTTCTTTCATGCCTTCAGACATTGTGGGCTTTCCTAAGGTGAGCTTCATAGATGGCCCAGGAGCACATAACTCTGATCATATCCAAACAGCCCAGTTTCACTGTTTGAAATCATTTCTTTTTTTCTTTTTCTTTTTTGAGACAGGGTCTTACTATGTAGGAACTCACTATGTAGCCCCGGCTGGTCTTGAACTTGCAGCGATCCTCCTGCCTCAGCCTCCCAAGTGCTGAGATTCCAGGCATGCACCACCAAATCCAGCTGAAATCATTTCTTAAAGAGAAAACCTTTTCCTCAGCTATTTTGAAATATGTCAGTTTTCCTCTAGATGTAACACCTTTCTTCAACACACAAAAAACTAACATATCACACACCATTTTGTGTTTTTGTTTTATGCTGCACTGGCGCTTTCTACATATCTCAGCAGAAATTATAGCCTTAAAATAAATATAGAAATAAGATAATAATCACTAATAATTTAAAAGAAAGGAGAAAGGAGAAGTTATTGTTTTTAATAGATGTCTTCTAGGAGAAAAAAGTTAGCAGCCTAGAGTCAGACAAAGGGCAAGAGAGACACCGAAGAGGCTTCTGTCCTCAGTTCTCATTGGCTTCTTAAGCTACTGCCCACAGTCCTAGTCCCATCATGGTAACCATGGTAACCAAAGCCCAAGATTCTCCAGCCACTTAGGAAAATGGGAAAGGAACACACTCAAGAAGTCCGATGCTATTCAACTACACCTGAAGAACAGGGACTTCTTGCTAGGGGACTAAAAGGAGTCAAGTGTTTCCCTGGGAAGCCACAACAGAACCTGGAACCAAAGCACCTAGATTTCAGTTCACTCAGCTCCCCAATTTTACAGATGAGGAAACTGAGGCCCAGCAGCTGAATCTGATTTGATCAAGGTCACCTGGTGCCTCGGTAGTGGACACCTGCTCAGCTGTCCTCAGTCTGTTTTGTTTTTTGGTACAGGGGATTGAACTTGGATCCTTGCGCTTGCAAGGCAGGTGCCTGAACCACTGAGCTAAATACCCCCGGCCCCTGTCTTCAGCCTGTACAGAACTCTGTCAGCCAAGCTGCACTACCCCACCAGCCCAGGAAGCCACTCAGACACTGATGAGACCCTAATACCGAGCTGTCATTATGTCCCCTAAGCCAAGTCTCTATTCGCTTTGCATTTTTTATAATTATGGATATTTTCTAATATCCACAAGTAGAGAGATGAGACTAACCAACCTCACACATCTATTATTAAGCTTAAAAATTTATCAACTCTGCCAATCTTTTTTCTACACTCTTACCCATTCTGCCCCTCCTCCAAGATAATTATGAAAGAAATCTCAGCTATCATTATTTCCTGTTAAACGTACATATCTAAAGAAATTATACAACTGCAAAGGCATAGGGGGCAATTCTGTTCAGGGAGTTTTGTTGTCCCTATTGCTCCCTGGTGTTGTGCACAGTATTTTCTATTCTGTTTCACAGCTCTAGGACAAATAGCCAGTCTTACCTCAGCACTGACCAACTGGGTATGGTCTGTGACCTTACACATAATACTAGTAATATTAAACTGCAGTACAGGAGGAATTTTGATGAACGGATTCTTCCGGACAGTAAGCTTGGAGAAAGCTGGGCTTATGCCAAGACATAAATGCTCTTCTTCCTTAAACAAAACACCACTGACATCTTGCATTTGTTTAAATTGGGCTTTGTTCTGGTCTGAGATTTAAAGCCAATTTCCTAAATGGATCCATAAGAAAGGCACTAACTAATGTAACTCTTAAGGTTTAATAAATCTACAAATTAACAATGAAAAATTTTCACGCCAATGGGTTACAGATGATGGCCTAGAACAGAGAACCATTTATTAAGCCCAAGGACATGATGGAAAGTGACAGTTAAACAACACATGCTGCCACACTTTTCTTTCATACAGACATTTCAATCTTACTTGTAGAAAAAAAAATACATCAAAAGAAGACATTTAAAATGATTTAATTACGGGTAAGACTCTGCTACCAGAACCAGGTAAACAGGTATGAGCCGTATATGGAAACATGGATGCCCACCATCACAATGTTGATATACAACATTTCCGCACTGATTTTCTGTTTTACCTCCTCCTCCTTACACAGTAAAAAATTCTACATGAATCTACAAAGGTATATTTTAAAACAAGAATATATTAGAAAACCAGTCAATACAAAAAATAGGGCAAATCACAACTGTTGAATTGTTTTACCTTTAAAGGAAATGACTTCATTTGAAATATAAATTCATTTTTTTCTGTAAAAACCCTGCGAAATACAATTTTCTAGCTTTTGAAAAGTTTAATAATGTATCCGCTCTTGCTAGAGTTTTGACTCTCATACCTGCTGAGGTTTCTCTAAATTTGTCACTGGTCTTCTTTTTCCTCCATTTCCAAGGCTTGAAGATTTTACCGATGGTGGACAGTTTCCCCTTCCTCTTGAAGGGTGGAGTCTGGGAGCCTGTTGGAAGGCCATCTGAGTCTGCTATGGAAGCTCTGTCCAGTCCGTCAACTATATAAAGAAAAATCAGATCAGACAAAGGCTGCAATAAAAGTCAACAACAAGTAGGCCTACTCAAACTGGAATCTCACAAGTTAATTTTGTCCCACTTTGCAGCCAGTAGGACACCTCTGATGCCAATCAGTCAATCATTCAATCAATCAATCAGAAATTACAGACCCCTTAGGTAATCATTTTGGGGAAATTAAAAAGAAGTAAGAAACTTACATAATAGGTATGGACAGACAAATAAAGATCTGCAAAACACAGCCGAATCCATCTGCAACAACTATATCAATATTTTGTGCAGGAACTGAGTTTTCTAAGTATTCCTGAAATAGGATGCTTCTCCCGAGGCTGGTCTGGCATTCTCAGTAATGAGTATCACAGTCATGGTGTGCTTAAAGCCATGATTTCTCCTTTACAAAATAAAATTTGGTGCCAGGAAGCTGAATTCTATTTTTAAAATGCTAAAACTATCTTTTGCTTCTGTTACAGGGAAGTTTCAGCTTCCAATAAACTGATAGCTATCACTAACAAGAAGAAATATGTGGAAAGTGTGGATATCCTGTGAGAAAAAACAAATCTTCCAGCCAGGCCCCAGAACACACTCCTCTAACTCTAGCTGCTCTGGAGGCTGATGGCAAGTCTCAGGCCAGCCTGGCTCACTCAGTGACACTGTCACAAGACAAAAAATTAAAGGGGGCAGGCATGTAGCTAATAGCAGAATGCTTCTGAGTTCCATCCCCAGTACCACAAAGAAAAAACCAAACAAAAACATCTTTGTGTCATAATCTTATTAATCATAAAAAGGCACGAAATCTTAAGTTCCTTTGTACTAAGCTCTAACAGAAAAGAGATAACAATGACTTATATTACCCTAAATACCAAATTTTCTTGGCTGGAAGCAGCACAGACTGGATAAATTATGGTATTATTCATTCAATAAAATAGCACTTGCCAATTTTAAAAAAAAGTAGATGGATAAATATGCAATAAGGTAAACTACAGTGTAATTTAAGTATTGAATCTAGGTGGCAGACATTTGCCAGCAGGGGGTACAACTTGTTTTAATCTTCTCTGTATTTTTTAAAGCTTCCATAATAAAACACTGGGGGGGGTGGCAAGCAAAAACTGAACAGCAAAACTTTTGATTCCAAGAGTATCGAGTTGACTTACTTATACCTTCTTATCCCTTATGCTAATAGCATTGCATAAAACCACTGTGGACGAATGTTGAAAACATCGTGCTGAGAAAGCTATATAGAAAAAAAGTATACACTAGATGGTTCCAATAAAGAAAGAAAATCGAAACAGTAATTTCGTCTTGGAATGAGAAGGAGATAGGAGTTAACTAAGGAAGGGCATAAGGTAACGGTTTGGAGTGGTTTAATGTGTCTCAAAAACGGCTGGATTATGTAAAACTGATCAAATGATATTTACAATTTTATGCATTTTAATTTACGTAAAATTTACCTTAGAAAAACCATAGAGAGTGAGTCTAATTAATTTTAGGTTTTGCAAAATTCTTAGGGTTGACTGGTACTGATAGCCATCAACATAATACGTGGACAAACAGGTGGAAAGAGAAGATAGACAAGTATCAATAAAGTAAAATACTGCAAAACGTTAAGTGTTGAATCTAGGTGTGGGTTTTTAGGTGGGGGTGTGATTCTTTATCTTGTCTGTATTTTCTTAAAACTCTCACAATAATGGTTGGGGGAAAACAGAAACTTCTGGTCTTACAGCTAAAGAGAGCAGGACCCAAGAAGATGAGAGCAAACTCATTGGCATTCCTCTTGCTAAATATGTAAAACTTTAGAGCACTCCTTTATATACTTATGTATATTAAAAAGGAGGAGGAGAGAAGAAGAGGGAAGAGGAGGAGGAGACTTGGAAAGGTGAGGAGAAGGCAGACCAGCCTGCGATCTCAGGACCCAAGAAACAACATCCTTGGGCTTTCTTTCTGCCTTGTATTCCCCACACTTGTAGCCGGAGAAGTCCACAGTCAAGAAACACCAATGTGGCTGCATCTCAACCCTCTGCCTAGTGAAGTCTCCTCTAATTTCAGGCGTTGTCTGGGCAGAGGTGTCTAGAATTTACACATTTGAAGTTGCAAATGCAGGTCTTGGACTGACTGGCTTTTTCCCAAGGGTACAAACCCTACAGTTCAGCTATAGCACAAGAGACAAGGGAGGGGGGCTGGTTTTGAAGCACAGCGAAGTAAACTCTTCACCTCTACTCCTAACTGCCTCCCGCGACTGGGAGGCAAACCCTCCTAGATCCAGGGAGGAAGTAAGTGTGTGGTTTCTCCTCTTTATGCTGAATCTCATAGAAGAGCTTAACTCTGACAATTTAAATGTTTTAAAATACAAAAGGGCTGACTGCTGAAACAGAAGGACTGAAGTTTCCACCTCAAATTTATCCCTGTGGCCTCAGACAAACATCACATCATTATTTCCATACAATGGAGTGGGAACTTCATCTCCCAGATCACAAAGTTTATCTGGGTCCCTGCCACTGCCTTAAGAATTCTGCCTCCTACACGAACCAGTGACAGAGTCTAATTTTCTTCTGTAAACAAAAATAAGCAACAAAACCAAAAATAAGTAATTCTCTAGAGGACAGAAGGTGGCAGATGCAGCGATGGCGGGAGGTGGCTGATGAGTGAGAAGTGAAAGTCTTAATGTTAAATTTATGAATAGCCAAGCAACCGAGGCTGTGGTCTTTGTCGTACATTTACAGTTCCATCTTTTTCTTAGCTCTATAAACGGCCTAGGTGGGGCTGGTGGTCACAGCAGTACCTCACGTACCCCTCTTTCCTGATGGAATGAATCCATCTGTGATTTTTATAACTGCTGGGCTGGTAGAGTAAACCACACCTATGATAGCCCCATTGGCCAAAAGCCACTGTGCTTCTCTCAAAGCATGATGCCAAGAGGACCGTTGCTGGCTTTTTTTTTTTTTTATTAGGATGGGATTTTAAAATTTTGTTTGTTTTGCTTTTTTTTGAGACAGGGTCTTGCTATGCAGTTTAAGCAGGCCTTGAACTCATTTTGTAGCCCAGGCTGGGCTCAAACTTGAGGTGATCCTCCTGCTTCAGCCTCCCGAGCGCTGGGATTACAGGTGTGTGCCACCATTCTCAGCTCCGTTGCCTGCTTTGAGTAGTTTGAGGAGAATATTAACTCTCTCCTTTTCGTTGGACACCAGGATCCTGGTAATGCCATTGCTATTTCTGTAACTTTTCTTATAAACTGATTTGCCATGAGCATCCACTTGAAACTTTCGATGTGTTTTCACCTTGAGCCCAGTGAATTTTGCATTTATACAAAAATAAGAGCAAATCACCAGGAATATCCCAGATGAGAGGTAACGTTTCCTGACTGATTTCATTGTTAATTTTTGCTCTACTTTCACGTCATTAGACTTGTTCATGAGAACTCTCCTTTCATATAAGAGACCTACATTTTAATACAGTGTATTCTGAAATAGAGTCATTAGCTACTTGAATATAGAAATTTCAGGTGAAAAGGCTCAATCCATTTTCCTATTGAAATAATCCCAAATTTGCCAAGACCTCCTCACACTTACCAATCAGTAAGACTTCAGAGAATACACGCAGGCCTTATTTTTCATTTGAACAGAAATTCATTAAATACACAGTATCAGTGGAAACTTAAATACACAGTATCGGTGACTACAAGGCCAAAAATAAATGAGGCTAAGTATTTATCACATAAAATAAATTACAGGTTTGAACAGTCTTCAGGGCCTCGTAGAAGTGACTCCATGTCACATGAGAGTCTGCAGTGTTTTTACAAGAGTTAGCGTGATGTGACATTTCTGATACTCATTTTCCTCCACACATAATTATTTCAGTCACTGCAGAAGCGAGACATGTGTGGAAAATTATTTCATAGATTTTGTAGCTGAAAGATGAGTGAGAAAAAAAACCTCAGTAGCTACAGTTTGGTGCAGGCTGACACCCACCCTGTGAAAAAAATAGGTGGCAAAGATGGTCTCAACTTTCTTTAAGTGCCCCTAAATATTGGATAGTTAATGTGAATACATTTCTGATGCTCAGTAACAACAGAAACAAAGAATTCATGTGTAGCAAGTCATGTTTTGATAACTCCCTGCTGTATGTAGTGTGTGCTTTAAAGAATTAAAACAAAACCAAGCAAACTAACTTTCCTTTATTAAAATATGGTTTTGGGGATTTAAAAAAATGTGCATATGTACATTTGTAATTTATTATCCAGATGTGACATTAAGACTATCTCTATAAGTTTTATTCTATTTCACTTTTTATGTTTCCCTTATAATTCCCCTGCTTACCCCCTTAAGACCAAAGAACACAATGCAAAGATACATTAGCGCAATTCTCAGGGAATATTTAACTTTCTACACCTGGTCCCTCTCAACTAAAAACAATGATGCGCACTACCGCATGCAAAGGCAGACACAGAATTTCTGGGCACAGAACCAAGCAGACAGTAAAGTTAGAGGAAAGTGATGCTCAGAGCCACCTCACTGAGCCGGGGGAAGGGTCTGTGAAACAGCCCAGGGGCTCTCCTTGGCCCGCCCAAGGATGTCCACAGGAGACCCTTACTCTCTGGCTAACCAGCGTTTTCAGTGGGTTGGGCCAGCTCCCTTCCTTTTGAGTACAATGAATGGCCAGCGGAGAAGAGAAAAAGAGCAGAAGAATGAAGTGTGTGGCATCACATGGTGCCAAGTTAGAAACCCTGAAACTGCTGTGTGTGTGGCCTGGGATGCAGCACGTAAATGTGTGGTGGTTGGTGGGAGCCAAGTCTCCCACTGTAGGAGAAGAAGATGTAGATAAACAGGGGAGGCAAGGAGAACGCATCACGTGACATTGACTACAGTGGCACTTGTGGTGTGTACCGGTGTGAGCGCGTATTTGGTCAGATCGATGGAGGAGCAGTCGACAGATTGTAGATATGTGCATGTACTTTGCTGGGCACACCCACCTGTGCTTCTTGGCGGAGCCC